AATGCTTGTGCATCTGCTGGGGGAGCTTGTTCAAATGAAGATTCTGATTTAGTGGGCCTGAGGTAGGGCCTGAGATTCTGCATTTCTAACCAGCTCCCAGGTGAGGCTGATGCTTCTGGTCCATGGACCACACTTTAAGCAGTAACAAGCCAGAAGACTCCCTGCTTGCCCAGCCCATGAGCTTTTCAGAGGGGAAACTGCACCCCAGTATTGCTCTGTGAGTTTCCTACGGCTGCCATAACAGAGTGCCACAAACTAGGCCGCTTAAAACAACAGTTCTGGAAGCCAGAAGTCCAAATTCAGGGCACTGGCAGCCTCTCTGAAGGCTCTAGGGGAGAATCCTTGTTGCTTCCAGCTTCTGGTGGCCCTAGGCAATCCTTTGCTATAGCTGCGTCACTCCCATCTCTGCCTCCCTCCTGTGTGTGTCCCTCTGTGTGGCCTCTCCTCTTCTTACAAGGACACCAGTCATCGGTCTCAGGGCCCACCTTAAATCCAGAATGACTTCATCTCAAAGTCCTAACCAGTTATACCCGCAAAGACCCTATTTCCATATGAGGTCCCATTCCGAGGGTCCGGCAGACGTGAATTTTAGGAGGACACTATTCAACCTACTACAGCTGCCCAAGGCAAGGGAACAAGGGACTTTCCCACCCCAAATACAAAGATTCCATGGGTGACCTTGACATCAAATATAAAAGTTCTCTAGGGCTTGGACTTCACAGCTGCAGGGCCTGGGGTGGGGTCTTATTCCCCTCTTTGTGGATCCCCAGTCTCCAGCCACCCCCGATAGCACTGATTCCAGCAGCAGTGGTATGGAAGGTGGGGGCGGGGGGAGCAGTGGAGGCCTGGGTGAAAGGAGTTAGCCCAGTACATGCTCCACCAGCTCCTCCATTGTTAAGCAAATCACTCCATCTTTGGTGGAGTGACTCAATAAGGGAACAAGTGGCAGGGCAACTTTTTACATAAGTATGACATACCTACATAACCACAGGGTACAGCTGGACGTTCTCAAACTGATTACACCAATGGAACCCACACCCAGATCAAGAAGCGGCATCCCTGCCCCGATGTCCCTCCCAGGAACTGGTATCCCCCCCACGGGAAACTCCTATCTTGACTTTTTAAAAAAAATTTATTTTGTTGTTGTTGAGAATATACACAACCAAATATACACCAATTCAACCATTTCTATATGTACAATTCGGTGACATTGATTATATTCTTCGAGTCTGGCAACCATTCTCACTCTCATTTTCTTTTTAGTAAAGCAAAAAGAAAGTTTTATTCCGCATATATTCAAGAGAGCAAAAGTAGGAAATGGACAACCATGCTGCCAGATCCATGTCTGTCCAAGTTCAAGGAAATATCACAAAACAGACAAAAGTGGGGAAAATGGACAAGCATGCTGATAGAGCCATGTCTGCTCAAGTCCAAAGAGTATTACGGAACAGGAAGAATGGGAAAACGGACTAGCATGCTGCCACAGCCATGTCTGCCTGGGTCTAAGGAACAGTTACAGAGCCATCATATACATTAACACTACAAATGGGCAAAACCATTGAAAGCTTTACCTTTTCACAGATTGGCTAGAAACTCTCACTCTCCTTTTCTGAGTTGTTCCTCCCTCCTGAACATAAACTCACTGCTCCCTAAGGTTTCTATCTAATCTTCCCAGTTGCTGTTGTCACTTTGATTCCCTACAGATAGTTCTTAAAAGTGCATAATGCTCTACTGGCACGAATCAAAAACACTGGAAATAACAAATGTTGGAGGGGCTGCGGGGAGATGGGAACTCTTATGCACTGCTGGTGGGAATGCAAAATGATA